ATCTTAGATTTGGATCAAAGTACATAAGTAGTATTAAGAAAGAAACATTGAACTATGAGAGTTTAAATTAGACCAATTTGTGCATCTGACTATCAAGAGTGAATTTTCTTTCATTGGATTAACACCCTTCAAACATAAGAGCCTTTGCACCAAATTGCATTAACAGTTCATGTGTTATTTTTACATTTTGCATTTGTTCTGTCAGTTACGCGTTACACTTGTCATACACATTAATACAACATTGTGTCTAACATCTTGTTATCTAGAGAATAAAATTTCAATGTTGTCGAAATATAGATTGATTGTGTTACCAAACACAATTATTGAATTATAAAGAAATAAAGATTTTGAGGGTTTAAGAAAATATGACATAAAGTCTTGAATGAGAATGTTTAAGAAACTAATCATATATAAGGCCAAAATGCTTTCTTCCTTTGTTTCTTCTTTTGTTCCAACAATTTGCTTGATATTTCATCTCTTTCATAACCTGATCCATTTCATCTCTTTCATATTATTATGCATTTGGCATGAAGTTCAAGATAGATGATGCACAAGCTTTGGAAGTAACTGCAAAAAGCAGTGGTTACAAATTCTCCCAAGATTTAATGATAGAAGACATTTTCATCTTCGATTGTTACTCAGATATATTTGTCAACTCACTATTGTAAATTGAAAAGAAATTTCTTGAGCATGGAAGGGAGTGAGCCACTGTTTTTCACTCTGCTTTTTTAATTGGGAGTCGGCAAAGTCTGCAGTAAGTTTATCAACATAATGTGCCTTTTGGGTATAGAAGCACATGTAAACTTCTAACCACCGAAATGAATGCATTGATGATGAAATATATGGTTATAGTTAAACATGAATGGGATGATAACTGGGTGCCAACATTTACTGGATGGTTGACAAGCATTCAACAATTGAAATGAGCTTTGGTCGTTACTAGTTGGTGTTTACCGGTTGTTGATGATGTATGCATGTTTAGAATGTTAAGTCCCACGTCGTTTTCTCTAAGCAATGAGTTCTTGTGAGTTGTCGAGGTGCTTCAATAAAATGAGCTTCAAGTCACCAATACATGATTGATAGTTTAGACATAGTGTAAAATATGTTTGTTGGCTAAAAATATGATCAAATTAATATTTTGTGTTTCCATGTCTGCATTGCCGCCATTGACGCACCTGCTGAGTTGCACAAAATTTCGAAGATGCATCTCTGGATTTTTCAATGTTTAACTTTCCTAGTAACTGTAGATGCATCTCCGAAATTTTCCCAGTCATTTTTTTATTATCTTGCTTTTGGTGTTGCTTGCTTGTACTAACTGTCTGGTTTAATTTAACTTGCAGGCATTATGCTTGATAGACACAATAAGCTAAGGCACAGGAGGGTTGCACGACATGCATCAGTGTGGCATGAAAAAAGTCAGGTTCTAAAGGCTCTTTCTCCCTCTAGCCATGTAAATCCATATACTTTTAGGGCTCATGCTTCTCCTCATGCTTCTATGTCTTCTTCTTCCTATAGGAGACGAGTTTCACGTACCGATGCATCACTCCCACCATCCTCTCGCAGACACCATGTTTAACCTATTCAGGCACTTGAGATACCTGAGTCACCAGTGGTACATCCTACTGTTGATCGTGCCAATCCAGTGCCACCTACTATTGAGCCAATGTCACCTCCTATTGCTGATGCTGCTACTCAGCCAAAGGCATTTAGGAGAGGACATGTAGATTTGTCACTACTGCCTCTGTATCCAGACCATACTGTCAGGCATATCTGAGACGGAGATGAAGCATTAGTTGGATCCATTCTCTTAATTTACGTTTATTTTAATTTATAAGTTTCGGAAATTTATTTATTTTTCTACAGGAACATGAACTGCTGAAGATTATTAACCACAAACAGAAGATTACAAGCTTGCCTCAACCAAATGAAGAGTGGTTTCAGACATTTTTGTCCCTATCTGAGATGAAGGACTTGTGCATGACCGGTTATATGATGGTCAACCACGGGATGCATAATACATTCGTGGATAGTTGACACTCCGAGACCTCGTCATTTCATCTCCCGCGTGGTGAGATGTCTATCACACTCGACGATGTATCTTGTTTGCTACATCTTCCAATCAGAAGGAAACTTCTAGATCATGAAAGTATTACCACAAACGAGGCAGTCGAGATGATGGTAGACTATCTGGGGGTTGATCCAACGTCAATGATAAAGAAGTTGGATAAAACCAGAGGTGCTCATGCTATGTTTGAGTTCCTGAAAAAATTATACACATATGAGATCGTTAGAGTGCAGCAGGCTATAGGGGATGACGAGCAAGTGGGGCCCCATAGAGAGTATGCTATGAGAGCATATCTTCTATATTTTATTGGAACTATAATTTTTATAGACAAGAGTGTTATTTACATAGATGTCGTCTACCTACTTACTTCGAGGACTTTGAGCATATCCATGAGTACAATTGGGGGTTGCTTGTTTTGTCTAGTTCTACTCGAAGTTATCAGAGGGTTTTAGGTGGACTACGAAGCAGGTCACAAGCAACATCACATTATTGATGGTAATATTTATTTGTCTTTTATTGTTTCTATATCATTTTCATTTTATCTTTGCAACGCCATTAGTGATGATTAGTTTGTTTCAAACTTTTCAGGCTTGGATCCTCCTGTAATTCCCGCGCATCTTCGGTTAGGTGAGTGTATTGACTTACACTAAGGATATGCCGCATGCTACTTCATTTGCCCCACTCAGAGGGAACCGGGCGATAGAGCTGTTCAGAGTGTACCTTAACCGCTTGGTTGCCAAGGACATGCACTTCAACAACCATGTATACCATAATGATACACGACCATTTAACGAGATAATGCTATACTCAGGATGATTGTCCTACAAATCACATCTCAATGCTCCTCATCTTCCTGTGTGCGTCATGAAGTGGTTCTACTACACTCAGACCATTCTCAAACATGTTGTGGTCTCTGCTCCTCCTGCTTTGACACATAAACGGATAAATGAGATGTTTGATGATTATGTGAGTCATCTGGTACTAGAGGAATCACAAAGTACAATAGCAAAAAGCGATTAGAGCTACGTCGACGGGTACATCAGGTGGTTCTTCAAGGTTTCATATCCGTATATGGTGCATGTTACTCCAGGAGATTTGCCGAGGCCAGCTCATCAGGAGATACTAGAGAAGAATGAGGCACAATTAGATCATATTGAGGATCTTTTGCCTAAAAACCGTCACATACTGGAGATTGCGCAGACAGACATTGATAAATGAATCTTCCTTGATGGGTTTGATGTGAGGCAAATCCTATATGCCATTATGACGGAGGCACGAGGGGCATTGATGTACCGAAGATAGCGCCGGAGGATGATGGATTGATAGCCGAGGATTCAGATGAGCCAAAAGAGATGTAGTTCGACATACACAATAGTGCATTAGTATATAGTAGTAGTACTATGGAGTATATTTTATTTTCACCTCATGCTCTTTTATCGTTGTTCACGACTTTATTTATATATGACATTTTTTGACCATCTGAATTTATGTACGTTATTTTTTGCATTGAGATTGTATGGTTTAAATATCGTCATATAATATGGTACACAACACTTATAAGTCTTCATCTGAATACACGTAAACAAAACATAGTATGAACTATTCTGTTCTGATAGGTTACAGAGATGTATCTCCATAAAATAAACGAAGATGCATCTTTGGTACAATAACCTTGTAAAATGAATTATGAGTGTGATGCATGGTATACATTTTAAATTAAATGAAGATGTATCTCCGAAATATTTTAACGTTTAATCATAATTTGGTGCGTCCGGAGATACATTTTCGAAATCCGAGAAATAGTTTAGTATTTTTGCGTGGTGTGTAAATAATATATAGGATGCATTGAGAAATTCTCTTTAAAAAATAAAGAAATGGTTACAACTTCTGATTTGCAATTATTTGTGAAGGGATCGGAGATAAATCATCGCAATCCTGCGGCGTTCTTTGCTTTGCTAGGTTTGTTATCAGGCTTATGAGTGGGTGATTATGATATTTTATTATATTTTATTGTGTATTAGGTGTTGTTATTGGTTCAGTTGTTAATGATCTTTTAGGAACTATCATGTCTCGGTTAAATTTTAGGTATTGAGTATTATTGTGTATTTAGTATTATGGCATAAATAATATACATGACAATCTAATCACAATTCAAAAGTAGAAAAAATTGATTTGAAAAAAGTATTAACAGAGGAATTAACATGACTCGGTTAAATTTTGTAAGGGATTAAATAGAAGAAAATATATTCAAAAAATAACTTGGACTCTATAATTTTTGTGAATGACTAAAATGAATCTTCACTCAGAAAAAAAATATTAAAAGACATACTACGGTGTAGATGTCAAAATAGCATTCCTCTTAAATCAAACTAGGTTGATATTTTTGGTAAATTATGTAAATAGTAAACTTTAGTCTTGTTGCTAAATTATACCATGAAAAGATTATGTAATTTGTAAACTCTTATCTCTAATTCATACTTCTTTAACCTGAACTTGCAAACTCTATGTCGCATGTAAAATTCTATTAGCTACAAGAAGAAGAAATCAAAAGAGCATAGACATATCAAGCTCAAAACTTTTGAAACACAAACTATATTACAAGACTTTAAAGGAACAGAAAAAGTGTCCTTAAATTGAGAAAAGAAGCGCAAACAAAATAAATAAATAAATACAGAAAAGTTGATATGTGAACCATTTTCTTCCCATTCTTACCAAAAATTAAAATGGGATTCCTTAATTATTTTTAGGCACCTCATTGAGCTTGTGGATCATCTCACTTAGCACAAATTAAGAAGGTCCGTGAAATTCGTATACCGGATTTGATTCCTCTAGAGCGAAAAAATTAATGGTTGATTTTTAGCAACCATATATATAATTTTGTTATTCGCTTTAGAGGACTCGAATTCTAAACTACTCTGAAATGATTATCATTTCATTAACATGAATTTTCCGCGGAAAAATCATTCGTATCTTCTTTGTCCACACGAATCGTGATACTTTCATCAGTTGGAGGCTTACATGGACATGCCATGGCTATGAATTTAGGAATCTCATCTCCCGGCATCAATACAGGCAAGCTCTCAGCATAACTTTGCTTCATCATCTGTTTATCAAAAAATATTACAAACCAAATTCATTAACCGTTCCTCAATAAATATATATAAAATGTGATTTACTAAAAATATAATTCGTAATAAGTGCATGTTTGAATAGACTTTAAACTATTGCGATTTTGTCAAAAATTATATTTTGAATTTTTAACGACGAAATCATTTGTTACTGAACCGAACAATCACTAAAACTTTATTATGAAAATCTATAGTATGGAGAGAAGAAGATGATTACCACCAAAGGAAATGCTGGTTTCTGAGGAGAGGAAGTTGAGTCATGTTGTATTTGAGCATGAGGGGTCATAATTTGAGAAGATGGAAACAAAAATTTGAGCCTATTCCAATGCAATAAGCAACAAAAGAAGACACAAATGAAGAGTAAACAAGCAAAGAGAAGTGCTAAACCCAATGGAAGACCAATGGTAATTTTAGTTGCTGCGGTATCTTGAAGTTCCATTTTGTATAATTCTCTATAGACTCTAAGTAGCTAGTGTTGTGTTTTTGTACTTGGTTGAATTCACTTGAATTATGAATGGAATCATGTAGGATTTAAATAAGAAAGGCATGGGCCAACTTTGGGTTTTGATTGTTTATTAGGTGAGAGATGGTGGGGTGTGCTTTCTAGTGGGTGGCCCTTTGGAGAGATGTGACATTTCTATTGTTTATTGAGGTTGATTTGATATGAGGTTGTGTACCTTGTTAAGGCAATTCATATTTTGTTTTTTTTGCCTAGGAAAAGAGAAGTAACATCTTTACTTTATTATGTTTTTCTTTATAGTTTATGAATTTACCATATCATTTTATTTACTAGTCATTGCTTGAAACTTTACTCCATCATTTAATTATTGTTTAAGATATTGTCCCAATTATTGATTTGTAGTACCAAAGGCATCAAATGATAGTATGACACTTCTTGTAATTGTTTCTTTTTACTAGAGCATGTAAGAATGTAAGATAGTTAAGTGGATATTACACTTTTTACTAATAAATGGCCAACGAAGGTCCTTTCCATAGATTATTTTGTCACCAAACCCAAAGGAGGGAGCTACCACTTCTCCATCAATTGTTGTTGACCATAATGGACTTGCCCAAATCAAGGTTTTAAAAATTGGTCGCGGTAATGTAAAGATTTTTGCGATTTTGATCGGCATATGTATTATAATACTAATTGTGATTGTTATAATGTGAATTAATCATAATTTTTATCATAAAAACGGTGAAATAATGGTATTGGTATTGATATCTTTTCATTCTGTTTTGTTGCAGTCGTTTTTGCTGTAATAGACCGTTTTTTGAAACTTAGGAAGAGACAAATTCACCTCTTATGGGGATTGGTAGAACATGGGGACGGGTGAGGTTTTACACAACCTTGTCCATCTAATGTGGCACCAAACACAATGAATTTGGAGAAAAATCTATGCATTCGATGCATTATCAATGTTCCTTGCAAAGCGTCGTGCAACCGCATAACTCACTAAATGTTAAGTGAGCCTTTACTATTGCAAAGACACACTACTTCAAGAACATCCAAAAGGAGAAATGGAACTCTTGAACAACCTCACTCACCTAAAAAATTATCGGCTAGATTAGGGATGACAATTGGTAGAGTTTGGGCAGGGTATTATAGTACTCATTCCCATATCCGAGATTTTAAAAAATCTCTGTACTCGAGCTCATACTCGCATGAAAGCCAAAGTTAGCACCCGTACCCGTGTCTTATGAGTATGTAAGTACACATACCTATACATGTTACCCGCATTCATATTAAAAATAAATAGATCAATTATCAAATATCATATGATTTTAAGTTTTTAAAAATATTAAAAAAGTTTTCAAACAATTTATTGTTAAAATAAACAAACACTTATATTAAATATATAATACTTCAAGATTGATATACTTTTTAAAATTGATAGATATACATTTTATATAATAATATAAATTAAAATATATAAATATAAATGAAATTACTTAAATATATATTATGCGGGTATGAGGCGGACATATCCATACTTATATCCGCTTATTTTTATGGGTAATTACCTGAACTCATACCCGTACTCATTTTTGCAGGTTTTTAACCTACCCGTTGTGGGTAATTTTGCGAGTTCCCATTGGGGATGAGTTAAATTGTCATCCTTAGGCTAGATGTTATACTCCTTTTTATTTTAGTTTTTAGATGTGTAGTGAGTGTGTAAGCAAAAAATCATCGGCTAGATGTATAAATCTAACAACACCTATTGACATTAGCTAGATTTGCATACCATGTTATAAAGGGTCATGTCCTTCAAGACATAACCACAAGTTATCCTTTGTCTAGATCTATGATACCCTCCCGCACCTCATAGATCCACACATACAATAACATGCATTAAGAAAAAGATGAAAGATCAAATATGTTTGATTGATTAAATCTAGTATAACGACATGGTCATATGAAATACGTAGAATATAGATTTTCAAAGTTCTCTTCCATTGCTGAACTAGCTATATTTTTCCCAACAAGTTTTTCTTTAGGTTTATTTAGCGCCAAAGTCTTCTACAAACCGCCTTTGTGATCCACCTTAGATTATATAGGCAATTTGAATATTCACCTAAGGAATTTGACCTTTTTTCCAGCACTAGTCTTTGTTATGGATTTGATAGTCAAGCTTCTGCTCTCCCAGTAGACCTGTTTTTTATTCCAGTCATTCTTCATTCCATCAGATTCAATGCTCAAAATATAAATCGCACGACGGATTATATAATGCTTTGGCTTTCAAGTCTTTGGGTGAGTCTCCTTTCTAGGAACGATAATAGGTCCTTTTTGCAATGTTTTTCAATCCTTTAACCTATTATGATGAAAAGGGAATAAAATATGACCTATGCATATTTTTAGGAAAATTTCTCAAATAAGCTTAAATTTAGGATTTTCTCCATTACTTTGTGTATAAATAAGCTAATAAGTGTGTGAATATAACAATCATAAACCAGTAAATTCTATATTTATCATTAGATGCTCACGACACTAACCTCTTCAGCACCAGCATTCCTGTCCTAGATCCTCAAGCCCTAAGGGAAGTGAAATCTCCTCACAGATTAAGAACTATCGTATTACGAGAATGCTTGAAAAACCTGAACATATGGAGACTTACTTCTGAACCAATGATTCATAGGAAGTTATATTGTGAGTTTACTTTTATTAGAGATAAGAGTAAAGAGAGAAAAGACTCTACTCTTATGTGAACTTTATATATATATATATATATATATATATATATATATATATATATATATATATATATATATATATATATATATATATATATATATATATATATATATATATATATATATATATATATATATATATATATATATATATATATATATATATATATATATATATATATATATATATATATATATATATATATATATATATATATATATATATATATATATATATATATATATATATATATATATATATATAATCTTCACAAGTGTATCATGTATAATAATAAGATAACTTTCATTTCCTTCATTCTTTCTTTTCCCTCTCTCTCTCTTTTGCATCTGTAACAGAATTCTGTTACACAAGGATGAACCACCATGTTCATCTTCTTCAACTCTAGTATGGTATCAATCGCTGCCACGATCTAACACGCTTCCGTAATCCCTTTTATTTTCTCTCAGCTCTGCATTTCCATTCTTGAGTTGTTCTACTCCTTATCAACCTTGCAAGATCCTGTTTGCTCTAGCTCTGTTCAACGACAACAATGGAATCTGACGACAATCAAGAATCAGGAGTCAAAGACTCACTTCCATTGCAACAAGGCATTCTTGGATTTGGCACAATGAAATCGAACAATCGATTCGGTCCAAAACTCTCCATTCAGCTGCAAGAAAATAACTACCTCCTATGGAACCAATAGGTCGAAGGAGTTATCTTGACACAGAAGATGCATCATGTTGTTGTCAATCCGCAGATTCTGCCGAAATACGCAACCACGCAAGATCGTATCACAGGTACGATTTCTGATGAACATGAAATGTGGTAAGTTCAAGATCAAGTTGTGTTTATTTGGTTACTCTCAACAATATCAGAATTCATTCTTCCATGTGTTCTTGCGTGTAAACACGCATACGAAGTTTGGGACAAAATTCATTAGTATTTCACAGCACAGATGAAGGTTAGGGTTAGACAATTGAGAGTGGAACTAAAATCCACCAAGAAAGGAGCTAGAACAATAACAGAGTTTGTGCTCAGAATTAAAGCTATAGCAAATTCACTCTTAGCTGTTGGAGATTCCATCACTTAGCAAGACCAAGTTGATGATATTCTTGATGGTCTTCCTGAGGAATACAATCCGTTTATGATGCAGATGTATGGTACTCCAGTTACACCATCTCTATGTGATGTTGATGCCTTGTTGTATGTTCAAGAAGCTCAGCTGGAAAAATTTTGACTAGATCAAACTGCATCAAGTGTTGTTGTGAATCTTGCTCACACAGGTCATGGAAACTCAAACTCACAGAGGGATTACACACCCAACCATGGCAGGAATTCTAGGCCCTCCAGAGGTAGGGGTAGGCGAAGAACAAGGCCTCCCAATGGTAACAGACCTACATGTCAACTATGTGGCAAATATGGTCATGTTGTATCCTCTTGCTGGCACAGGTTTGATGAAAATTTCATGCCTCCAAATCCTAATGAAACTCAGGAGAAGCCAAGTAGTAACATGTAGTCAAGACAAGAGCAGTCTATAGACAAGCCTCAAAATTCACAAGCTGTAGCAATGATGGCTGCCACAACCAAGTCTATTGGTACAACTCAGCAGTATAACCTTCCTGCAAAATTGGACTCTCAAGCATGGTTTGTGGATTCAGGTGCATCTCATCACCTTACTCCATATGCCTCTTATTTACAAAATTCTAGAGTATATACAGGCAATGACAAAATCTATGTAGGTAATGGTCACACACTCACCATTAATTCTATAGGGTACACAACATTTTGCTCACCACTCATGACTAAATGCAAGTTGATAATGAATGACATCCTTCATGTACCAGCTATTACTAGAAACCTTATTTCTGTTTCCAAATTCTCTCATGATAATCATGTCATCTTTGAATTTTTGTCTAACAAATAATATATTAAATCTCAGGCTTCTAGACAAGTTCTGGTTGAAGGAGTTCTAGATGCCAGTGGTCTCTATTGCTTTCCTCTTCTACCTTTGGAGTCCTCAAGGTCTCACAGTTTGCATACATCATTGAATAAGTCATGTCAGGTTCAAAGTTATACAGCTGTGGATTCCACACCTACTTGTCAGCTGGATTGCTCTATAGATAATACATGTCATAATAGTATGCTTTGGCATCATAGGCTAGGACATGCTAATTCTGCATCTGTTGCTCATATACTAAAGTTGTGTAATATTCCTCATTCAAATAAACAAAACAGTTTCTGCA